TCAGCACCCAGAGGAATTCAATGGTGGCAGCTTCTCTAATTTTTTTTCCTCCTGATTTTCCAAGAACGAAACGCACTGCTTGGCCTCACCAGGATTACAAATCCAATGGGTTCATAGGTCCAGGTCCCTTCTACCAAAATCCATACACGTGTGTATGTAAATACACCATACAGGAGATTATATTTATGCCTTCTGTTTCATACAGAGGTCACAGCTGTGCGGCTGCCAGCCCTTTAGCACAGCAGACTTTTCCACAAGCCCAGCCACACTGGAAGCGGGGGTGATTTATCCAAGCCCCCCGCTTGGCAGAGGGCAGCTGGGAGCTCTCCACGTCTGTGCCAGCCCCAGGCAGCACTTCCTGCTTCCCTCACAAACCTCTTAGTCCCGGGTTAATTAATTGTCATCAAATAACCTGCATGGCCACAGCTGGGACAGCAGCTTCACCTTCACCCTGGTTTGTCTGTGCGGTTCTGGGCTCCGAAATGCAGCCCCAGAGTGGGGGCCTTGCTAGGAGAGGTGGGGTGTCTTGATAGGAGAGGGGGCCTTGATAGGAAAGGAGAGGATCTTGGTGTGCGGGGTCTTGAGGAGAGGAGAGTTTTGATAGGAAAGGAGAGGTCTCAATAGGAGGGGGGTGTGGTCTCAGTATGATAGGAGATAGGAAAGGGTCTCTCGATAAGAGAAGGGTCTTGATAGGAGAGGAGGTCTCTGTAAGAGAGGGTATCTCAATAGGAGAGGAGGGGACTCAATAGGAGAAGAGTTCTGAATAAGAGAGGTGGTCTGGAGAGGGGGTCTCCAAGAGGAGAGGGGATCTTGGTAGAAGTGGAGTCTTGATAGGAGGAGGGTCTCAACAGGAGAGGAAGGGTCTCAACAGGGGAGTCTCTCAATAAGAGAGGGGTCTGGGCAGCAGCAGGGTCTCACAAGCATGGCCCTTTTTGTTTAGCTGGGGAGGGCGTTCTGTGCAATGACTGCACATGGCCCAAAGGATGAGCTTTGAGGCTGCTTGCTGGGATTTACCCACTTAATGCCCCTACCAGGCTCTGGAAATGCTGCTAACCATGGACACTGATCTCGGGAGTTGAAATTTCCTGTACTTTGCAGCATCTTCCCATCGCCCCCAGGGGCTTGCAATAGCTGTGTGCCAGTGGGCACCGACGGGAATCCTCCATAGGGTGGCCCTTTACAGCATGGTGGTCTGGCTGGGAGAGGCTGGCAGGCAGAAGCTCTGGGATCTGCTGGAACAGATGTTTCTGTGCCATAATAAAAGGTTAAATATTTTAATAAGCATTAGCCACATGTTGAAGGTAAAATGAGCTGCTTGCTTTCACTTTTTCTTTTTTTTTTTTTTCTGTATGCAAATGAACTGGAAGCTTATTAGCGAGATGAGAGGCTGGAACCTAATTAGCAGCAGGACAAGGGAGCTGTGCTGGAGCTGAGTCAGCGAGTGTGAGAATCCCTGCCATCGCTGCCTGCCGCTGCCAAACCGCCCCAAAAACCAGGAGAACTGGGCAAAATCCATGTGTTTTTGGAAGGGTCGGGGGGAGATCAGCTTCACTTGTGGTCTTGTCTGGACACAGCCCACGTGGGTCACACCAAAACCACCTTCCTGACTTTGTTCTTCATGATGGCTGCGTGGCAGCTGGGATTTTGCAGTTTCCAAGTATATATTGAATATCTGGGGGCAGTGCCACCAACCCGGGTGTCGATGGACAGAGCAGGACTGAGGTGTTTGTAGTGTGATCTCGTTGTGCCACTGCCGGGTGCGGCGGGGGCAGTCCCTGTGGAATTTGTTTCAGTGAGTATTTGCTTCTGATTATGTGTCTTTTTTCATTCTGAAGAATCATTTTCCTACAAAGAAAACAAACGGGAAAAAAAACCTTAAAAAAATTAGGGGAACTTCTTCCTTTTTTTTTTTTTTTTTTTTTTTTAAACAGATAATCTTTATTTTCTTGCATCCTTTTTCCTGTCACCATTTCCTTGCTCTGAGTTCCTTCAAGCAGAGCAAAGACCAAGCCTGCCCCAGCGGTGCAGCAGGGCCTGCCCGCCCTGCGAGGGAGAGGCGAGGGGACTCGGACTCGGACGCTGCTCGGAATAAGAAGCTGCCAATAAACCCCTCTTGTAATTTGCACCTTCGGAAGGCGACAGCAGCCGTGCGGCCCCTTCGTTCATTTGCATTTTTAATTAGCTGTTCTCTCCCCGCGCCCCTCAGCTGACCTGCTCGGGGCCAGCGATGACTGAAGGCAACCGGGGTTCATTCTGGGGCTGAACGAAGTGGTTTTGGTGGCTGGGTGAGGCGGCAAGGCAGTGACGACGTTCCTCTTTTATTTTTTCTTTTTTCCTGTTTTCTGATCTATATTTCTTCCACTTGGTCTTGGTCCAGCCCTGCCTCCGTGCCATCCATCTGCCCCTTCCTCTGGGCTCCTTCCTTACCATCCTCCTCCTCTCCCAGCACCGAGACCCGGCTCATAGTCTGTGGGTTCCCTCTTCCCAGGAAACCCTCAGCACTGGCAGCAAACAGGATTCCACAATTCCTCTATAAAGCTATTAAAAGTCTACCTCATTAGCAATAATTAAAAGGTGTAGCACACATTCTCAATAGCTCATGCCTGCAGGCAGGGTAATTTATTTTATTATTTTATGTTATTACTTTGGGTTGGGGTTATTTTATTTAATTTTATCTTATGTTTATTTTACTTTGTTTTTGTATCTTATTTTATTTATTATTTTCTTTTATTGCATTGTAATTTTATATTATTAAAATTTATTTATTTTATTTCCTAGGCTCCTACACCCACCATGCCCAAAGGATGGGCAGCATCACCCATCTACCCCATCCCCATGGTGCTGGCAGAGGAGGGACACGGGGACAGCCATCACCTCCCATCCACCAGAGGAGGGGGTGGGGGGTGCTGCCTGCATCCATGGCACAATAAAGTATTTAACTACAAAGCAGAATTACTCCAAAGACTGATGGGCTGACTTGTGAGACCCACTCACATTTATGGAGGTCGTAAGTTATAGATTCCATGTGAACTGGAGGAAAACATAACCCTCGGCTTTTATAGACGAAACTTCTGCCGTATATTAAATTCTCCAGCAAACGGACGGGGCTTTACAACCAACTGTAACTTCAACGTCTCCCAACCCCTCGGTTAGTTGGAAGGGATTATTAATAGCCAGCGTCTGCATGGCCAGCCCTCACCGTTTGCCCCGGTGACGGTGGTGGTGGCTCTGGGCTCTCGGTGTGGGGATACCAGCCCGGGAATGCCGACAGCTGCCTGTGGAGGGGAAAAGACCTGCCGGAGACATTGCACTGGTCAGGACATGCCCCGGGGAGCGCTTTGAAGAGACCTGGAGCGCCCCAGGGCATTGGCAGGTCGCCAAGTCATTGGTTTCTGCTCACCAAAAGCCTTTTGAAACTTCTGTTGTGGGTATCTGTGGGACTCGGTGCATGCCATGTCTTTCTCCTCGTTCCAGTTTTTGGTCTGAAGTATCATAATGTGAAACGGAAAAAATGCATAAGCATACCCTCGGGGTTTGCTCTCACCCAGAGAGCAAACGCTTTTTTTTTTGTTACCCAAATGCAGGGAAATAGTTGGGGGGGGGGAGAAATCCTATAGGTGAGTGACAGGAGGAGAAGGAAAAGGTGTGGATGCAGACAGGGGGAAGGGGATAGCAAGGAAAAGGCAAACAATCCAGTTTGCATCCTGGGGGTTTGGTTTCTCTTTGAGCTACGAGCAGGCCAGCGAGGGGTAATGGGGAGGGGGGATGCCCTTTTCCCACCTTAAAATCATCTTTTTTTTACAGAGAGGGGGACAAACTTGAGCTGGGAGAGGCGCAACATGCTAAAACCTACCCTGGCACCCACAGGATGTGTGCCAGGACCCCCCGGCCCAAAGAGCATCCCATCAACCCCCTCCCATCATCCCCACCTGCCACCCGCCTTTTTGGGGCGATTCTCTCACCGGGGCCCGATGAGACTTAGCATTTCTCTTTTCGGAGCTGGGCTGAGCGTTTATTAGAACTAAACAGCTGGGAGCACGATGATATTTAAACTGGTATTAGGAGAGCACCGGCGGAGGGTGATAATTCCTGGGGCGGTCTGGAAGCGCGGCGGCCGGGGAGCTCCTGGGGTCTCCTGCCGGAGAGCGATACAGTTAATTTGCAGCCGGAGCTGGAGGCTGGCCCGTGCTGATATTGCCGTGTTATTTAGAAGAGAAAGGTCAGGCTGGAGATTGAATAATCATTGACAAGAAATCCATGGGGGAGCGGGGCGGCAGCTCCAGGCGAGACGCAGCATCCCTGTGCTGACTTCCCAGGGGGATTCTTTCATCTGCTCTGGTCCCTGTGGGGTGTCGGAGGTGTTTGTGGCAGGGATCCTGCCCCCGCCTTCTCCAGCTTGGGGAATCACGGCCACCCCATCCAACTGCCCCCTTTTCCACCTAATACCTCTGTCTCCGGGGACATGGCAGAGCTGTCCTGGTTTTCATCCTACGCACAGGCTCTTTTTTAAATTGCAAATTACTTTTAAATTTAAAATTGCTTTTTTTGCCAGAAACGCTTTCAATTTTTTTTTTTTTTTTAACTAAAACCTCCCAGGAAAACAGAACGAGCTACAAAGCCTTCCTGCTCCCCAGCCCTGGGTGTGATAAGGAAAATCTCCATTCTAGATTTTTTTGAAAGATGTGCACTAAACAAGTCCAACAAAGCAGTGAACCAGCAATGACAATGAAAGCTTGGAAATGGTTTTTTTTCATGGACAAATCCACGAATGACTCACCTCCTCCAGGGAAATTGAGGCACAGTGGGAGGCACCAGGGATGCTGCACCTCAGGGAGCATCCCAAACAACATCCCTCTGGCTCCCATGCTCATGCCACCAGGAGTAGGACTCTTTGCTCACTCCCCTGTTGCACCCCAAAACCTTCCCACCCCCTCAACCCCATGAAGAAGGCACCCAAAATATCTTGCTTTCCTCTTTTTTCTCCCAAAAAATACACCAGGTTTGGTTTCTTTTTTTTTTTTTGATTTTTTTTTTTTTTGCAACAAAAGAAACTATTTATTTGGAATATGCATTACCAGTACAAATCAGGAAACTGTAAAACCTACACCTTGTTAGTATCGTCATAGAACATAAAAGTCTCAATTGGGATCAGAAAGACAGAGGCCTTTTTTTTCTCTTTACAGAAGCAGAAAAGCTTAAAGTTTCAAAACCAGGTCGGAATAGAGAGTCTTTTTTTTTTTTCAAGGGTTTTTCTTTTTTCTTTTTTTTAATATTTGAAATCCATTAGGAAGAGAAAATAAAAAAAAAAAAAAGATGGGGAAAAAAATAGAAAAGAAAAAGCAACTCTGAACTGGATCATCTTTACAAGGGATAGAAAGGGCTTTGCAAGAACAAGAAAAGCAAACCGACAAAACCACCCCCCTAGGCAATGTCTGATTTATATCATCTTAATAATAATAAAATAATAATAATAATAAAGGTGTATGAAAACAAAAGGACTCCAGGAAACCTTGGGATTAAAAGTAACACCCCAAACCCTAAACTGTTCAGTGATGTGAAAAGCTCAGGTTTTTTGGGGAGGAGTGGGGGAACTTCAGAAAACTAAAGTGATGCCAAATGGCATCTTCCTTAGCACTTCTCCTTGAATCTCATGCCACAGCCACCGAGATTTCAGGCTGTATGTGGGAGCTTTTGGGCCATGTCCCACCATGGGTGGGACTGCATTGCCCTGCTCCTTGTCCCTCTCCCTTCTCAGCACACTGGTGCAGCCAAAGTTGAGGGCCAGGCTGCAAGACCCTATTCTCAGCAAGGTCCATAGGCAAAAGGAGGCTGGAACCTTCCTTGCTCTGAATCCCTCAGTTTTGGGCCAAGGGGGATACTGGGATTCAGGGCAGAGCATATGGGCATCTACACATTTTAGGGAGGATTCAAGACCTTTCATCACTTCCAGGCAGCTCAGCAACACCCAGAGCATGGAGACCCACTGGGGTTCAAGCACCTGACTCTGCGTCTCCTCTCTGAAACTCCTCGGAGTTCCATCTCTCTTCAGACATAATCCCACCACTCAGCTCCAGGGCAGCAACAGAAGGATATTCTGGAGCTGGGAGTTGAAGCGAGTGGGGAGAAGAGGAACACCCCCCAAAAAACACCAGCATCACTTTTCACATCACTCTGGTCACAGCTCAAAAGCGCAGGGGAAGTGGCAAGGCCATCGTCTTGGACAGGTCAAAATAAACTCAGCATCATCATCAAAGCCCCCCCCCCCCCAATTAATGCCAAAAAAATAATATAAAAGGTCATTTCTGGGTCTCAACGTTAAGAAACATAAAGTGTTAGACTGTACCTATTAATGCTCACTATTCCAACCATTTTTTTCTTTTTAAAGTTTTACAAAATGAATTACCGTCACTTTTTAAACATTGTGTAAGAAGAAATGAGTGTGCACAACTCTACACTTTTCTAGCATTCTTGAACTAATTCACAAATGCAAGAAAATGAAAAAAAAAAACAAACCATGGGAAAAAACAAACAAACAAACAAAAAGGAAGATGAATGTAGGTAGTTTGATGTTATAAACTATACAGGAATGAAGCGCTTGTTGCCACAGAAAGAACAGGGACAGGACCTTCCCCCTGTTCAGTTTTGCGTGCTAAGAGGGTAATTTTTTATTCTTTTATTATAAACACTATTAAATTCCGACTGCGTTTTTGGTTTTTTTTTTCTCCTTTATCTGAATATACAAGAACATTCATTATCAAATGTTCATTATCATCAATACTACAAAGAACGAGACACAAATCGCAAGAAACAATGGAAAATGTTAATAAAGCTGAAAGAATCGTTGAGTTTTTTTTTTGTAATTTTTTAAATTTTTTTTTTTTGTTTCTGCAGGGTGTTTTTTTTTTTTCTCTTTTTTTTTCTTTTTGTTTTGTTTTGTTTTTTTTGGTATCGAAGTCAGGTTTTTCTGGGCAGAAAAAAAAATAATAATAAAAAAAGAAGAAGAAGAAAAAAACCCACAACACTCAGGGCTGCAGTAGGGGAGGAGAATGGGGAGGAGAAACAAAACCCAAAAATAAAAAAAGCAAAGAAAAAGGCAAGCAAGCAGCTATGCCAATGCAAACTGGAAGGACCAACCGGGGGATCCAGGAGGTGATTTGCAAAGTACCATGGAGGAGGGAGTGCCTGGCCCAGGCAGGGGGTGGCACGGGCAGGGGGACAGGCAGGAGGGGCAGCGGCTGCAGGGCAGGGGAAGGCAGCCCTGGCATGGGCTGGCTCTGGCAAGCAGGTGGTTTCAGCTCAGTCCCAGTTGGTTCTCAGGAGGGACTGTGGCATTCCTGCAGGCATGGCACTGCTGCTGCTCCAGAGAACAGACCTGACCCAGTCCCACGTCCCTGAAATGCTTTGTCAGAACTGTTTTGTGTAAAACAAGCTGGAAGTGGACAAAAGGTAGCACCGAGGGAGGCCATGGGAGGAGGAGGAATGCAGGAAGGTGCAGGGCTGGGGAAGGTGAGCAGTACCCACCTGTCCTTGCACGGAAACACCTTCTCGGAGCACTTAACAGAGCTGGGAGGCAGCCCTAAACCTCGCATGTTGCATCCCACTCTGCCATAGGGTCCCCATCCCCAGCAAGGATGTGAAAGCAGCAGGAAGTGTCTCACTGTTGGACACTTAAAAGCCCCTGCGCTGCAAGATGACAGTGTGTCAGAGCTGTGGGTGCACCAATGCTGTGCCCTGAAAGCCAAAAACCATTATTTTTTTCCAACAGAAGGGTGGAAATTTTTTGGTAGAGTTTTAAACAGTTCTTGCTTAACGCTGCTCTGTGCTGGCAGTTCCCACCTCAAGACCAGCACAAGCAGGGTGGGCATGGACATTCAAAAGCATGAGATGCAGCCAAGAGGTATTGGAATCCATCACAAGGTGCCAGGCATGCTGCACCACCAGTCCCCATGACACCCAGGGTCTTGCTGCAGGCTGGCTCAGCTTCCTTGTGCCCGCTGGAAGAACCAACGGCCAAAAGTACCACCCTGGCACAGAGCTTAGCCCAGGGAAACTGGTGCTGCCTCTCCCTGCTTTTCCATGAAAGCCATGTCCTCCCAAGCATCAACCACCTGAAGGGGCGTTTCAGCAGGATGAAGCCTTGATTACCAGCCATCATTGCCTGTCCAAATAGTGGATCAGAAAAGCTGGGCAGAAAATCCCATAGTTTCTCCTGTGGTCACTGTTCAGAGTAACTCTTGGGATAAAACCAGCCCTTTCACAGCAGAAAGACATCCCCAAGGGAGGCATCCACTCATCCTTGAGGGCTTCACCCTCAAGCAAACCTGTGGCACTGTAACCAAAAGCATCCAACATGCTCAGCCCACCACATACAGCCTCTGGGATCCTGCTGCCTGTCCCTCACTGCCAGCTTGGCAGGGCTTTGGGAATGCAAAGGGTGGCACGAACCTCTGCAGGTCCTGCCCACACTGGGGAACCCATTTCCTCCTCTCCCACACTGTGGCACACTCCTGGAAACATGAGTCAGCACCCTGTGACACTCTCCTCACCAGGAAAAGTCCACCACCAGCCCTAGGTGCTGTGGGAAAACTGCATCGACTATCCATGCCTGATCCCGCACACTTCCACAGAGGTGCTCAGCAATTTGTTATCAGCGATGGCCATTTCTCACCTGTTTCTGCCTCCTTTCCTGGCTCATCCAGCTCACAGCAGCCAGTGGGATGTGTGGCACCTACTGGAAATGAAGGGGAGCACACTGGCTCCTTCTACGTGCACAGGGGCTGTGCCCACCTGCCCTGTCACCGCGGTGCCTGAGGGACAGCTCACCGAGGCAGGGCTGGGCACGGGAGGCAATGCTGGGGGCCAGCAGAGATAAGGTGGCAGCAGGCCTGCGGTGGCGATTCCTATGGAGAGGTAGCACGAGAGAGGGGGGTGAAGGGGCTGCCTGCCAGTGAGGGAGTGAGACGTGACTGAGGGATGTTCGTGGCTCCTCAGAAAGACACCGAGTGTGAGGCTGTACACTGGTCTGGGGTTGGTTTGTGTGGTGGATTTTTGTTTTTCCTCCTTAAAATCCTTCTACCTGTTGACATATCCTTCGGAGTGAAAGGGTGAGGGGGAGGGAGTGGTGTTGTGGCGGTGGTGAGGAGGGGGAAGAGTGGCTTCTACCCAGAAAAGAAAGGGAAGAGAGTATAAAGAAGTGTCCAGATTGGCTGAAAAAAGCATCCCGACGAAGAGAAGAGAAGAGAAGGAGTCTTCTTGTGTGTGCTGATTGGGTTCACCTCCAGTCTGACTGCTGCGGTGTTAGGAGAGGCCCCTTCCCCTCCCGCCCCCGCCGGGGCTGGCTCAGCCAGGGATGCAATTTGCTGGGAGATCAGTTGGAGGTATCAGAGTGAACGCTGCCAGGGCCTTCTGTGGGGGAGGTCACCGACGATGGGGTAGTAGCGTCTTGCCAACCTCCATTAGCCTGTGGGAAGGGAGACACGGAGACATCAATCACCCAATGGTATGGCACACATGGCCCTACCCAAGTCACCCATCCACCTCAGAACCAATGTATGAGGCAAATATTTCCCATCTGGCTCTCCCCTCCCACTCCATCCATAGGGATGTGGCCAGAAACAATTCTGTTGCAAAGAGGGGTTTTGATAAACTGCAAGTGCTCATAGAATGTCCGTCCCTTAAAAGAAAACTATTTCTCAAAAAAACCCTGAGCTCTTGCTGCTTGGGTTTTCTTTTACCCCCAAATATGACCTTTCCCCATATGGAAGGAGGAAAATAGCAAACATCTCACTGGGATGTTTGGGACTGCTGAGCTGTGCCATGTCCCCCAGAATAGCTCCATGTCCCCACCTCCTTGAGGGAAGCCAAGCTACAGTGCAAGAGAGATGCCACCTGAGGGTTTGTACACCAAAGCATGGCAGAAAACTTGTTTCTTCTTCTGAAAACAGGTGCTGAGCTAAATTCTCTAGCCTCTTAAGAGCAGAGCTACTGGAGGGCCCTGGCTGCTGCAGGCAGGAGCAAGTGGTGCACAGAAGCTGCTCCTCTGTGGCTGCCATCCCTTTGGAGAGGAGCAGATGTCACACTCAACCTCCTCTGCTCACTGTGACATTGATTCAGTGCTTGGCTAATTAATCCTTCCCAAGCGCTGTCCAAGCTCCAGCTGGCAGCAGTTGCTGTCCCGCTTTAGCAGGTTAGCAAACCCCACCCCACCTTGGGTGCAAGTGTGAAACCAGACTGTGCACAAGCACTACCAGCCCTGTGAACCCCTCGCCTGCAGAGACCCCATGCCCACTGCCCCCACCAGCTTGCACCCACACCTGGGCCCCAGCCCACCGTTCCCTGTGCTCCCTGAGATGCAATATCCACCCTTACATGTCTTGGACTGCTGCAAGAGGCAGCAATTACTGTAGATTATCAGCCCGACAATGACAGGCCGCGTAAAGAGAGACACAGAGCCAACTCCACCACCCCGAGACTGGCATATTCAAGTACACTTAGGACATTAATAGCAATTTACGTGCCATCAGTGAGAGAGAACCACAATAGCTGTGCTGGCAGCCTCTTATTACCAAGCCTGTTATTTGTTGGAGTTACAAGCTATAATCACAACAGAAACTTTCAAAACCCTTATCTTCTGTGACGCACCAAATCTATTTCAGAGCTGTAATTGCTATGTCACCGGAGAGTTTGCTGCTTAATGCACTCAGATGCCATTTAGTGTTTGCAGGGTCATTACGGCGAGCAGGAGGGGGGAGAGCAGAGGGGGCCGTGTGGAGCAGGGCTCCGTCCCTATTGTGCTCAACTATTTTTAGTGAGGCTTTTGCATGCCAGTCACGGCTGGAAGGATCGAGAGGGAGAGCGTCTTGCAGGCAGTCACTGCAGTGTCTCGATGTTTAGCACCCCTATCCCCAAAATGCTGGGAAGCCCCATGGCACTCCAGTCTGGGAGTCAGCCTTCCTGTGTTGCAGGAGTTTGTGTGGTTGAACACCACCTTGGTCACATCCAGTGGGAAGTCAAGAGAATGCTGGGGAGAGACCTTCACAGACCCCACACCCTCCTGCTCAGCCAAACTGGGAAGGCCAGAAAGTACAAGTAAAGCAATGGAAAGGAGGCCCCAAGGTTGGCCATGACATCTTGACACCATCCTTTGGTATGGACAAGCCCTCTATAAGGAGGCCAGATCCTCCCCTGGGCAGAGGGCACGTAGACACCATCCCCCCTCATTCAATGGAGTTCACTCCACCTCCGCATGGATCAAGTCACATGCAAGATGCATCCAAGTCCACCCAGATGGCTCTGCCTCTTTCTGAATCATGGAGATCCCTTGGGATCTGAGTGTACTAAATCGCCTGGGATCTCCCTGAAAGATAAGGGAGTCTTTCGAGGAGGCTGCTGCTCCTTGTAGATCCTCTAAGAAGTGTCTGCACACAGCTGTGACTTCCTCAGGAGGGGCAGAAACCAAAGACAGAGCAATGATCTCCAAGACATCTTTTCAGATGTCCCCTTCTGATGCCAAAAAACAGGCAAGGCCTTGGTGACTGTCCAAGTCTGGAGCCCTGGTGATGGATTGCTGAAGCAACTGGTTTTGGTGCCCATTTCCACAGGTCTCAGTATTTTTGTCACCTCCAGCAAGTCTGGCTGGCTCCCTGCCCAGGCCTCCTACGTGGGGCTGGGAGAGGACTTTCTGCCAATTTTTAAAAGTGCCTTCTGCTTAGCACAGAGGCTGTCTCGGCATCCCACCTTCTGTGACCAAATGCCTGTCCCACCATCGATGGCCCATGGTGTCAGGTCAGCCTGCAAACCAGATACTGGCAAGGCTGACAGAGCAGCCTTAAAGAGGTTTCAGACCTCTGAGCTTTTAAGAGTTTGTATCAGGGTCTTATTACACACCAGAGAATCCACCTTCGTCTGGACATCCCTTTCCAAGGATCACAGCCAGGCATCCCTGGCCATTAGAACACACCAAGGCATCTCTGATGGATGGAGCTTGGGCACTGAAGCCCTGCCAGACCAAATTCCACACCCCAGCTGGTGGTTATGACCATGAACCATAGCTTGACCCTGATGGTGAACCGCAGCTTGCTGAGGAGCAGAGCAACAACTTTCTTCCCATGGCTCAAATTCTTAGAGCAAAAGGTCTGAGCCCAAGTGAGGAGCTCTCAACTCCTACAGGTATCAGTGCCTGGTGATCCTTGCTGACAAGAGTGGATCCAAAACTCTCATCACACCCACCACCACCATCCCTGTCACACACACTACTCTGTAAACAGGCACACCTCTGCACAGCAGTGGTTTTAAGTCAAAAACCTCACACTCTGATGAACTTAAAAACAGTCTCTCATTTTAGACTTTTGAAAGATCTATAAATTAAACTAAAGTCCAAAAAGAAATCTCTGAAAAGGCTATTCTTTAAGATGACTACAGTTCACTCATTCACTAGTATGTGGGGGAACTAGAACACTGTGGATTTACAGCCATGGGACAGTGGCAGGAAGGGCAATGTTATGGGATGGGACCCTCCACAGAGGACTACAGCAATAAAGATCCAACTTCTACTCGAGCCCAACAGAACCTGAGCATCTAAATGTTTTGAAATCCCTAGACTCAGGGACCTCCTGGGTACACAGGTGAAGCCCTGCAACACTGTCCACAGAGCCCAGACACGTAAAAACCCTCACTTAATGGTGCAAAACCCTACACCTCAAAGTTTGCCAAAAGGGCTGGCTCAGGCCCCAAACACCCCCTCCTTTCAGATGGGAGGGGGGGGTCTTTCCTTCCTCTCAGTGTGACCTGAGCCTGGGTATCCTCGAGGCAGCTCCGGCCTCTACCACCCCTCCATCGCCAGGAGCATCCCCATCCCTTGCTGGGACTGGTGCTGACTGATGCTGTCTCCACCTGTGGAGGAGAAGGAATCCATTCTCCCTCTGCCTCAGCCCTCCCTGCGGGTCACGGGGATGGCGATGGCTGGGACACTGCCCATTATCCTGCTAATGATGCAGAACTGACTCCAGTCCTTTCCGCCCTGCAGAGTGGCCTGTCAGCCATCGAGCAGCAGAGCCACGGAAGGAGCTGGGCTTTGGGTAGATTCCTCTTCTCAGCTGTCACGACTTACACGCATTTAAAAATTCATCCTCTATCAAGGAAGGCAAACCCCAAGCATTGTGTCCCTTGCCAAGGTTTCCAGTGGTGGAGCCGGGCAACCTGCCGCTGCCTTCCTGGCACTGACAGGCTCGGGGGATGACTTAAGCTCAGCCCCGTGCAGACATCATTGTGACAAGGCTCTTGACTAGGTTTTGGCTCATCTCCTTTCAGCAGCTCACGGGGATGCTCGGGTGACGTGGGGACGGCAGCTTTCTGTGTCACAATCAGCTTTCCTCTGAATTCTGCTGCCCTTCCTTGGCATTAAAGGGTTCAGGGAGAGTCAGGGAAGCCCTGCCTGCCGTGAGCCAGTGCAGCCACTCTGACTGCACTGAGGAGTTCCCCAGGACCTTGCCCAGGACCATTGCTTCCAAGAGGGCAGCCACACGTCAGAGTGGACAAACGGGGATCAATGGACCTCACTGGGTGGGAAGACATTAAGTGACGATAAAAGCTCCAGGATGGAGCTTTTGTCCTGTATCCCCAGGATACAGGGGAAACAAAACATTTCGGGACAGAGAGACAACCCAGAAGATGCCTCCCAAACTATCTGCTTAGCTCTGGACTCCCTGTCTCATTCCCCGTGACTACCACAGCTTTATGGGGAAATGAGCAGTCACCCACAAACCTGTGCCATAAACCCTTTTGCCACCCTGCTTGTCTCTTAAGAACATCCAGTGCAGGCCAATGTGGGCTTCTGTCCTCCCTGAAAACCGGCCTGAGGAGACATGAGGTGCATGTGGAAAGCACAGGGGGAAACAATGAGTTCCTGTCATGCTCAGCTCAGCAGTTCCCAGTGCTGCTCGTGGGAATACTAGTTCTCCCATTACCACAGTCAGAAACACCAGTCCATGTTTTTTGGTCCCATTTGGCTTTCAAGTTTCCACTCTCTCTTTCTTCTCCTCTCCCCTGCTGTACCCTCCCTGCCTTGTAATCCTTGGCAGGAACTTCCCTCCCCCTCCAAAATTTTGGCTTAACCCAGGCCACTGTTATTTTCCAAGCCAACTGCAACTGTAATCAGCTCAGCCTCTTTCCTTGGGGGTATTTTAATTTATACAAAAGTATCATCTCTTATCATGATCAGCCTGCGATTCATTTACTCTCCAAGTATTAAAAAGCCAGAAAGGGAATAAATTCAGCGCATGGAGAAATTAATGTGGAACGATAGGCTCTTTCATGTGGCATTTCCAAGCGCCGTTTTTGCAAGGGGTTTATGTAATGAGACATAATTATCTGCACATGTTCAATTACATTACTTCACAAATCCTCCCTGCCTCTGCCTCCTGGACGTCAAGCTGCCCACTAAGCCCTGGTGCCTGCAGGAGAGGGGAGTACAGCCCCCCGTCCCACTGTACCCCTTTCCCTTCACCCCCTCCCCACACCGGCAGTGGCCATCACACAATGATGGCCCAAAGATGGTCAGATGCCAGATTGCCACAAATGGCACAAGCCTGGCCAGCAGGGTGATGGGACTGGACAGTGCACCTTACGGGGGTCTTGGCTGCAGGACCACTATCCCACCCAGAGGATCATCACCTCCCTTCCCAGCTCAAGACCACCCCATTTCGACCTTCAGCCTCCTGGATGGTGACCGTGGCAGCCTGTTATGTCCAGGGTCAGCTGCCCCCTCGTCTGTGCCACCCCGGACACCGCTGCCACCACCCACTTGACGCTCACAGCCTCCTTTTCCAGGTTGCCCTCCTCTCCCAGCTTGCTGTCACCGCCACTGAGATGGTGGACGATTGATCTGAGAAATGAAGTTGGACTGCTGTCCCGAATCTACACTGGGTTCTCCTTGTGTGTGTCTGATCGATTTCCCCCTGTGCGACACAGCTTGTCGCTACGAATTTTCATGCTAGTCAGAACCCGCCAGCGCACCCAAGAACAAGGAGAAGATGCTCCAGAGACTGCCCTCCCCCTTGCATCCTCCCCCAGCCTGGCTGGGTGAGGTTTTCTTGGGTTGACATTGGTTGGCTCTGTGGGGTTTTTTCTCCTTTCATTTGTGACCGTTACTGCCGCCAACCCCATCGCCACCGCGCCTTTGGATGCCAGCCAGGGATGCGTTATTTTTAGATGGTCGCTCAAGGATTGGCCCTCTGCACAGAGCCACCTCTGGACCAGGGCATTCGCGGTGACATTCCCCACCGTGGTTACATGAGGTGTCACCTGTTTAGCAGCTCCTCTCGGCCGAGCACATGTGGCCGCAGGTGCCAGGCGAACGCTGATCGGCTCTGACAGTCCTAGACGCCAGCTGCCTGCACAAAGCCTGCCCCGTCGCCACTTTTTTTGTGGGCAAAGCTCTGCCGTTGGCGTGACTGATACAGAAGCAATAAACTAGGTGACCGTAAAAGCAAAGACAAGTCCGACTAAGTGGCATTCTGAGCCCTATGGCTTTGAAATAATTGGTAGTGAGAGAACAAGTTAAAAAAACGACCCAAAAAAACAAGAACCCGAGCCTATTTTTTTTTCTTACACTGATGCCCTGCGGACTATACATCTGACTTGCCGCGAGTCCGTCACTGTATCCTCCTGTCTGGCTGATAACATGGCGAAGGGTATCCACCTAAACAGACCAACAACAACAAAGACACAAATTAGAGTGAATGAAAGGTTAGTGGCCAAAGCCACTTCCGTTGATCTTTGGCAAGATAAAACAGTAACAAGAATAATCATCATGATAATCCTCATAATAAAAACAAAGGCATATATTCAAAGAGGGGTAAAAGAGAGCTGCAGTTGGTCTTGTGGAGAGAGATGAGACAGAGGACTGCTCCTGCCTCCCTCACCATCCCTTGCCTGCCCCAGTGGCCCTGTCATGCTCTCCTTGGTCCCAAGTCTTTCGAGAAAAAGAGTGGAGAGGGAGAACAGCGTGGCAAGCGTGGAGTGGGATCTTCTGGAGCACATCATTGCGGCCAGCTCCATCATCATGCTCAAGTTCCTACTCCTACCCCCTTCCACCCTTGACCCCAAGCACTGGAAGCTCACAGCAACGGAAGGAGATCCTTTGGAGTTGGCTGAGCGCCTTCACTGCAGAGGGCCCAGAGAGGAAATATACCTACCATGGCAAAGGCACCAGCTGCTCTCCTCCAGGTGCCCTGCTCCTCTCCCTTCACTGCCCCCAGCCCAGCCCCAGCTGTGGTATGTGTGGTGAGCACGTCTCATCACCCACGGATGACACGTGTGCTCCACATTCAACACCATCAGGGAGCAGCCTTGACTTGAGAGCTCTCCTTGCCCAATGCATAAGTGTCCAAGTGGCTGTCGTCTCTAAACACAGAAAAGAGCCTTAGATGCCAGAGAGGGGACTCATGGCATATCTGGACATCAGACGGGAGGTGAGAGATCTGAGTGAGATCCTGGTTATTTTAAATTTTTTATTTTTGCCCCAAGCATGGGTTGACGTTCCAGGAACGCTGCTCAAAGTTCCCTTGCTCTCTCCTGTTTGCGTGTGCATGAGTGGTATGAGTGCCTGTGCTTTGGGGAGGTGGGGAGATGGTGAAGGGTGGCTTTTAATTACAAAAAAATAAATTAAAAAAAATTTAGCTATGTATTTGAACATTTACTGCCTTTTAGGAGATACCTGGTTTGGCATCAAAGGAGTCATGGAAGCCTTTTAAAATGAGACACCAGTCCAAACATCTGACCCCTTCCCTTGAAAGAATAAAGCACGCAGATCCTAAACCTCGGCTGTTTTTGTTTGACTTTTGTCTATTCTCCTACACCTTCTTTCCTCCTAGTACGACTATCAAGCCAGAGCCAAATGCATTCACAAAGTGTGGGCAAGTCTCCTCAAGACCATGGTTGTTGGTTTGGTTGGGCATTTGGTTTTAGTTTCTTTTGGATTGATTTTTTTTTTTTGATGGTTGTTTCTGTCGCTTTTTTTGGTCGGTCGGTTTTTCGGTTTGGTTTGCCTTTTTTAAGTGTTGGTTGGTTCATTTGTGCTGGTTGAGATTTGCTCTTTTCAGACGGGAGGGAGAAGTGCCAATACAATCAAAGGCTCCTCCAATACTAATGCATTCACTGGCAGTACATCGGATGGGTCCCTACCTGTGACTGCACGTTGGCTCCAACCTGGGCCCCTTGGTAAGAATCCCCATTGAGAGACTGCACGCTCATGAACAAATCTCCAGAGTTTGACATGTTAAAAGAACTGGAAGAACCTGGAAAGGAAAGAGTGAGGCACCTGAATCACAGAAAGGAAAAAGATCCACCCCATGACTCTCAGCCAAGAGGAAGGAACAACATGCAAAGCAACCACAAAAACAAAACAGTCAGGTTAGTAGTATAAAGAACAGAGCAAGCAAAAAAAAAAGGATGCACTCCTGAGGTTATTCAAAGCCACATGTTGTTACAGCTCAATGCCAAGAACATTCTTCAACTGCTCCTCAGCTGGAGGAGGGATTCTTCATGCTTTTGACTGAGACAAACAAAATACAGCCTGGAGGACTCGGACAGCCCTTTCCCTTCATTTCAGGGCATCAGAATCCTTCAGGCAGCTTCGAAAAATCTCAGTTGTTGGGGGTGTCCACCCAGAAGACTGCACTGGAGAATTACCCAGACAAGCTCGTTATCAGGAGCAGAAGCCTTTGCAGCGGGCAAACCAAGCCCACGCTGAGAAGCTCATACCAGGGTGGGTAATTCCACTCTGTGCTGCTCTCTGCAGGGTGCGCACATCCAGACCCCATCCAGTTTCACGGTTAGAGCTCCAGCTGAGCCACAGTGGGCTCTGTGAGGGAGCAGAGTGTGGAGTTTGCCTTCAGGACACTAGGAGCCCATCACTAGCGGGAACTGCAGCGCACCAGGAGCAAAGTCTTGCAAAAGTGTGAAGGCACCTGGGCTAGATTCCCAGTGCCCATGACATTGGTAAGTGTCTTTCATTGTGATGGGCCATGAGAGAACACAAAGTTGTTATGGCTTTCCTGGGCCAGCTGCCCCAGAGGGAATGAGCTCTGTAAGCAAATTCCCCACTGCATGGACATGCACCAGTTGCCAGTGTTACGCTAAAAAATGATAACTGGTGAAGACAACTGGGTGGGATTAGGAGAAGAAAAAAAAAAAAAAAAAAAAAAAGGAAAAAAACATCCTTTGCAGAAACAAGGTTTTCTGCTTCCAGCTTTGAGATATCTGAGCACCTCCTCAACCACTGAATGAGAAAAACAAACCCATCATGTAACTGGAAGGCAGGGAAGGAGGTAAGGGGGTTAAAAATAAATAAAAAGGTTTTATGGGATTATTTCAGAACTTATCGTGCAGATCAGCGCGTTAAGTGTGAGACAGCTCAACGTGCAAGGTTTGGTTATATACATGACGTTAGCCTTGGAAAGGAGAGACTTCAGGGGCCCAGGTCAGCTATGCTTTCAGCTCCAGTCCCAAATATACCCTCATCATCTACACTGCCACTTCCAGCTTGGAAGACTGGCAACCACAGTCCTGGTGGAATTGCCCAACTATGGCTCATGCGTATGCTCTGAGAAATGCCTGGCAATCCCCCTCCCCTTGCTGGAGAGGGGAAAAACACACTGGTCAGATCCCAGTTCTGTCCTGGAGGTGGACCAGGAAGGCTGTTCTAAAGGAAGCCACCTCTGAGAAAGGTCAGGAAGCAGGTGGGAGATCTATGCTGGAGACTTCATGTTCACTAGATTTTCTGCTGCTCTCTTGGTGACTGGCTCTTCTGTCAGGTGCTGGCAATTCTCAGAATTGAAGGAAAGCAGAAACATTGCCGCCAGATACAACGCCCAAGAGTGTCAAGAGAAAGACTTATCTTGAGCACAATGAGTCTTGGATCAGGACCCTCCCACCAGTGCCTGAAAAGAGTGAAGCCAGGAATAGCTCATTGTCTGTGCTCACTGTCAACCCTGCCCAACCTGTTCCAGAGAGCAATCCCACAGCGCTGCGTAAAATAACAGGGACTAGTCAGAAGGCAGCTGTAACCATCGCCTCCTCTGCTCAGCTGGCAAAGGGCTCCTGTCACTTCCCAACCTCTCAGGTTACTTGCTATTTTAAAGACAAAAAACCTAGGGAAATGAGCTGGCACACTGAGGACAGCCCACCCTGACAGTGCTCAACTTCAAGCATGAAGACAGGCATGTTTCACAAACATAAAGATGCTTCGACCCTATTATCTGAGTGATTGCTTTGAGCACTAGAATAAAAGCACAGGGCAGAAACACAGCTTTGTATTCCTGCAGAGGCTTAGAATCAAAAGACTCTGCAGCTACTGCTCACAAGAAGCAGAGAATATGCTCCTATTCTTCTCGGGTGAGCACAAACCTTTGAGATCGCACAAATAATCAGTGGCATAGCTGGGAAAAGGACTCTGGAATCCCTGAGCACCTGGCATGGCACTGCTATCACTCTGCCCCCAGCAAAGCAACATTTCATCCCACCTTCCCCCACCAAAAGAAAATTATAACAACAATAACAAATAAAAATGCCATAAACTTAACTGGTATTTTATTGAAACTTAACAAACCTGCCCATAAAATTGAGATTGGGAAGGAGGAAATAAAAATAAACAAACAGCCGCAAACTCTAGTTCTGAAGAGCGACAGTGTCTTGGAAATCATGAGGAGTGCTGGAAATGTCACTTACAAGATATACGCTGCTATTGGCAAGGGGTATTTTTACAATATATGTGCATATCTAAACGGTAAATATGTCTTGCCATTGATGTGGATGCAAAGATAAATATGCGCATACCAATGGCCCCGCACGTATGGATGCATTTGTATCAGAGCCGTAATTGCGGAGCCCTCTGTGCCGCCACGCTGCTGCTTCAGCACTCCAGTGTCTGCCTCCTCACCACGTCTGAAAATTACGACGGCCCAACATCTCAGAGACACGGCTAAGAGGAGCTGACACACTCGGGTGGGAGAGGGGGTGGGAACGAGAAGAGGCCTGAAAATTAAGGCTCAGGTATTCTCCAGGAATCCGAATCAAATCCTTTCACTAGAGGAGGCTCCGTTGTAAATCTAATCTGTCTCTCTGAAGGGTTCCACTCTGAACAAGCCGTGGGTCTTTGATGGTTGGGGGCTCCTCAGGAATTGAGAGGTAACAAATGAGAGAAGCTCGTCTTTGAGTTTGAAAAGGGCTCTGATGTTGGCATGGAAGTCCCTTGATGCCATTGTGTGTGGACTCAAAAACCTACTAGAAACCCCAATATTTTTTATGACTTGAAGCACTGTGAAGGAGGGTTTATCTTCAGCATACAGACAACTCATTAAACCCATCACCACCAAGACCTATCACCTTAGTACTGACTTTCTATCAGGCCAGCACCAGCTTTAAGAGTGCTGGGAATCTTTAAGCAAGCTATGGTTGTCAGATCTTACCCGTGGGTGAAGGCCTACATCAAAACAATGTATGTAAAGAGATTTCTTACATCCTTAATGCTTCTGATGAGCAAAATCCACTTCAGTTTTGTCTCCAATTCAAAAGTCTTCAAAAGTTTAACTGCTGGTATTTCTTGCACCACTTCTCCAGCTCTTCAGAAAGCTTCTTCTCCGGGTTCTGTAATGTCTTCTGTGTTCTGATGGTCTCAACTTCCAACTCAAATTTTCTGGGATCTCTTATAAGTCCTTTTCTCTAAAGTACCTGACAACTCAGACAGTATCAAGAACAAACACGACCAAAGCTGAAGTCAATGGCAATGACACACATGCATTGAGAGCACAGGATTTTTCCTTGTGTCTCTACTATGGCCAAAGATGAGGGAAGAACATGATGGACCACACAGCTTCTCAGCTGGACAAAGCCACTGAGTTTGAAAGTAGGTCTAAAAGCCAGGGATGATCCAGCAGGACACTTGTTCTTTTCCACTTGCCAACACTCTAGACAGTGAGGCCACGACCAGAACAGTCTCTGCTGAAGCAGGGTCCTCTCCAGCACTGTGTTTTGGATACAAATGGACAAAGGCAGAGAAGAAACAGCAAGACCTGTGCCTGATGAAGAACCTTTCCAGACAACAGCTTTGCAAGATTTTACAAAACAAAAATGTAAGCAGGAAAAAACCCCACAGCTCAGGACAATTTTGGCTGCTCTGCATGGAAGATTTCACTGGATGTCATCACCTGTGTGTGGCCCTTGAGGACTCTGGCTGGCAAAAGGGTCTGCCCAGTTAAAATAGCTTTCATTTGCCATGTGGTTTTTGTGCTGAGATTGTCCAGGCAATCAAAGTGAGGATGGGGAGTTGTTAGCCCAAATGAACCAGACATCTCAGCTTATTTGAACATCTGGCTGATAAAGCCCAATTGCATGTATTCACGATGAAAAGGTGTTTGACATTCAGGCCTGGGTGACTGAGGATGGGGGACCCTGCTTTGAACATGCCAGATGGCCAGACAGATGCAATCCTTGCCCTTGTCAATGTGTGGCCAATCTCTTTGACTGACTGAAGCCATTCACTGATCTCCAGTAACATGGGCATCAATGCAGAGAACAGATGGGCCTGCGTAGCCACAGCAGAAATGAATTTAGCTCCTGTCCCAGGTCCCACTGCATCCAGTTCCACCTCCTCTTCCAGCATCATGGCCCTCCAGGGACTCCAGCCCTCCAGGCTGGCCGTTTCTTCCTCATGACCTGTCCTCTGCCTACTTTCTTTCCACATGTCGCACAACGTATTTAAACCAGAAGGTCTGAAAAATTCCCAGCAAATCCTATCTTCGTTCAGGCTCCTTCCTCACCAAAGTCTCAGTCAATGATCTGGGAACAGATAGAAGTCCATGGTGTAAAAGGAGAGGCATCATCCATCTTAGTCCTTCACCTCTTCATCCACTTCCAGGTTCCTGCCTGGGGAATTCAACACATCTGGATGGCTCATGGTCCCGGCCACAATCCTCCAGTGTGTACAGGTGTGCTTCTTGTTGCCAGTACCTACAGGGCAACCTGAAGCTGGTCACATGACTCCAGATGTCTTCAGGATCTGTCTTTGTTCCAAAATGTGACAATGCAGAGATGCCTGACTGAGCTGTTACATCTTCACGGTCAGCTGGGGAGATCTCAACCTGGGATGGCATTGTTGGGAGATAAAAATCTCAGGCAATTCCAGTTGTCTTGTCAGGGGAGGACATATCAGGACACCCAGATCCACTATCTCTGCTAGCCCACCCAGAGACCACTGCAGTTTTGACAGCAGGGCCTCCCCGCTGCTTTGCCACTGTTGCAGTCTACAGACAGGGTGGTGGGATGCAGGACAGGTTAGAAACACTTTATTTACAGCAGAAGAAGGATCTCCATGGCCTATGAGCTCCCCTTGCCCTGCTTTAGCACCGCTGACACATCAGGCAAGTGAAAAGAGGTCAGTGATTCCAGAGTGCAGACGAGCGAGCCAGAAAGAGGACCCAGGAGCTCAAGTTTTACCTGTTAATAACAGGACTGTTCGTCCTTCCTTGAAAGAGCAGTGTTACCCAGGGATTATCTCACTGTTTACTGCAGGGTACTGGCCAATTCATCTCTGAAACAACCGTGTTACTGCCTGTGGGGAAGGCAAAGAAACAGCCTCACACCGGAGCACTACTTAACCGGGCAGGCTCTGGGGAAATGCTTACTCTCCTACATGCAGGCCAGATCCAAAACCACTTAAGCCATCTGGAGTTCCTCCCTTGCTATTCCAGACCTTTGGATCTGACTCTTGTTGAAGAAAGAGGAGAAAAAGGAAGGCTGTGTTTCCTTGCTCCAAGGTGATGTGGGCTGCAGGATAGCATCCCAGGCAGCAGGCATCTCCCTCATCATACACAATTTTGTCCTCTCCAGCAGAATTGCCTCCAGCCTTTTCTATAGAGGAGTGTTAACATTAAGAGACCCCCACCTGACCAGGTATTTTGAGTGAGTTCTTTGGAAAGACTGACATCTTTTAAACTGCAGCTAAATCTTCAGCACTTCAAACAACTGAAGGGGAACAAAAATCTCCAAACAAACCAAAAAGAATCAAACAAATTTACCACCCTCGCAGAGTTTTGCTGCATCTATCTGAGCCCTCAGAGCATCTCATCTGAGCCAGGGCAGGCAGCCCTGGGCAAGGAGGAGGTGGCAGAGATGTGTCCAACCAGCACTTCTGACCTGCATATATCTCTGCTCCTCGTGGCTCTGGGGGACAGATCCTTAGATACAGTACCATGTCCACTGGAAATTAAAGAGTTGTGTGTAGGAACTTCTCTCCACTGCCCAACTGAATAAGCCCTCTACCACTTGCTCTGTCAAAGTCATCCACCTGAGCCCCTTCAAGGTGTGGAGGAGCTCCCCAGCACAGAGCAGTCAACCCCCACTTAACGCATTAGCTCATGGGTAATGGGCTGCCTTTGCCTTCCTCCTGGGGTACTGGTTCTGGCCATCAGCCAGAGACCCATGCCACTGGTTCCTCTCTTTCTTTGTTCCCTGGCTCTCCACTTCCCACACAAAGCCTCCAGACCCAGGGGTGCTTCTGGGGTGTGATTCTTCTTATACCTGCACAGGCAGGGTTGTGTTCACTACAGAGGCATGTTTTGACAGCAACCAGCATTTACACAGTCTCCTTAACGTCTTACTGCCCCCCATCCTCTTTACTCCTTTCTTTCCTCTGAGTAGCCCACCTGATAACAGCAAGCCCTGGGAAAGGGCACCATAAGCAGACATCAAGCTCAAAGGCACATTCCCACTCTTCCTCCCACCCCTAAAAAGAAAACAGGTACACAGATATTTGCATGGATAACAAAGTTCATTGCACCTACGAAATTCACTTGTGTCCCTTCTTTTAAACAAATCCCAATTTTCCATTGCTCTTGGGAGCACAACCAGAGCCCCGGATCAGTTTTGGGTCAGCCGACCTTGCAGAAGGCACCACGCATGAACTAAGCATCGCTGTCTAGCAGAGGAGTTGAAATCTGGGCAAAGTGCTCTGTGCCTTTGACCCTCAAAACAAACAAATGGAAGCAATAGCAAATGGGAAGAAAAGGGGGAAAGGGAAGGAAAAGACCCATGAATTTCTCTGGATCGCGCTGACACAAAGGGAAAATAAAATTCACACACAGAGCACACTCTTGCAGGTGATCCAGACACTGTCATGTAAGCAATCAAAGATAACCACAATAACCACAAAATTAAAGGATACAAATTTAGCCAAAACAACCCCCACAATGGCATGAGTTAGGACATCCCAGAAACGCTAGGGTTTATCCATTAGGGTCACTCATGCTTTCAGCCCCAGTGAAATAAAATCATTATGCAATAACTTTTCCATTACTTTTTCTCTCCCCACAAAGTGCAAGCAATCCCAGCAACAGTTATCACATAATTTTTCAGGGTTTGTATTTACCATCCATGCATATAACCCCCAACATAGTCACAAGGTCTGATCACATCCTTTTTCCAATGAAAAACAGAACAGGAAAGGGAAAGAGGAAAAAAACTGAGAAAACGGGGAAAAAAATGTAAAGAAAATAAAGTACCCCCTTCCCCCCAAACCAAATCCATTTCTCCTTTCATTTTTTTTAAGGCCACAAAAGTGAGAAAACCAGACCCAGAAAATAAAAGCTGAAATAACCAAGAGGAGAAAGCAAGAGAGAGATTAGAGGGAGGGGGGAGAACAAACAAAAAACCGAACACTAAGTACCCAAAACAAAAGAAAAACAAAAACTAACCAGCTGAATTGGGAGTTGAGGGTGAGTTAGCCTGGCTTCCATGGGCTGACACATTGGTAGCCGTGACAGCCGTTTTGGCAGCATAAATATTGGCTTCCTCTTGAAATTTACCTATGTTCTTCTTGTACCGGATTCTCTTATTTCCAAACCAGTTTGATACCTAGAGCGAGTTTAAGAGAAGACAAAGACATTAACGTTTCAGCTTCGGCAAGATCACCTGGGTGAGGAAGGTGGATTAGTTCAGGTTAAGCAGTGCATATTCTGTTGCCCCCCAAGTTTTCCTAGCCGTGGAGGGAAGCACCTTCTACCCATGTATGGCAGACCAAGCTCAGTAAAGGTGATGGGACCCTCTTGGGAGCACTGGGAATGTGTGATATATCTGGTTCCTCTATAGATGGGATATCCACTTAAGGAAATGGGATGCTCCACAGGAATCACCACCCCATGAAAATATAAGATGGATTCAAAAAAGTCTGAATTTTGAAAAAAAGTATGTGTCATTCCAGAACTTTTTTTGCCTCCTCCTTAGTATCCCTTTGATAGGACACATGCCCTCATTCCCAGATGCCTGTTCTCCCTTTGGAGAAGCTAATGTGGCTTTCAGGGAGAACACCCAGCAAACTGTCTGGGGCCTGGCTGACACACAAAATTGCCTTGATATTACTAAAGCTCCTCTTTGATCTGAGTAAAATCAGTGCACAAGGCCAGAATTGGATGCTCTTCATCCAGCTGAGCTTGGATTTGCAAGGTATAGCACGAGCCACCACATAAACTCGGAACTTCAGTGGAAGGTTGGAGAGAGCACAGGGCTTGTCCTAAAACCTCACTTTGGTCCCAGGAAACAAATGAATCTTTTGGAAAGAGGTGGGAGATGTTTCCACTGTGTTTGCCCAGAGGCCTGCTGATAATGATAATTCTTGTTCACTTGCAGGCACCATGTCACACTGAACTACTTCAGAGAAGACATGTGAAATATTTGAACTACAGTTTGGGAAGCAGCTCTCAGCTTCTTCTTCAACAACACTGAACACAGAGTCAGGGGAATGCCTTATTATGTGCAGGTCTCTAAGCAGGAGACAACTTCCAGCCACCACTAACCTTCCCTGAGAAAGTTTATCAGGATGAAGCAAATGAACAAATGCCTGAGGATGCCACAACACTCCTAGAAGAGTTCCAACACCCCTGGATTTGCCTGGAGCTGCAACCTTGAGCCAGCAGATCAACCCTTTGGTGGAACTCCTTTGCTTGCTGGTGAGCAAGTTCATCAGTGTTCCCCCTTTCAACTGGACTGAACAAGCACCAAGACACAGAGAATACAATAATGGATGTTCATCCTTGGAAACTCATGACTTTTTGCTTATCTTAGGAAAATGGTTGGGCTTGAGTGTTGATAACTGAAACCCACAATATTTATTCTTGTGATGATCTCTATCTGCAGTGCTCCTAAAGCACTTAGCAGCTTCCATGCAGAAGTGGCTTCATCCACCAATTTAGCTGCTACTGAGGTGCAGGTATCCAAACCTGCACTGCTGCAGGGCAGGAAAAGAAAATATAACCTGCAGAGACAGATCAGCACCCAATCCATATCTGGGAGTGAACATTTGGATGGCATCAGGAGCAGCGGCTGTTTGCAAGGAGCTCCATTTCACCTCTTGGTCTGCCTTTCTCTCTAATGACAATTAGAGCTCCTTTGTGATCTTCCCACTTGGTCATCTCTCAACAGTTCTTCTGGTTTGAAATGCTGGAATCAGTGGGTGAACTCTGAGTAACACAGGGCAGGAAGATGGGACAAATGGCCACCACAATCAATCTTCATCTAAAAACTTGTGAAGCAAAGAACTTGCCTGGCCTGGTCAGCCTTTGAGTTCAGATCAACTCTGCTTGTGACTGACACAGATTCATGCAGCCCGTGTTCCCATTTAGTCCCAGAAAAACCAAACCTGGATGTGTGTTTGCTTCTACCCTCTCTGGATGAAGGGGGGGAGATCCTGGTGACAGGCACAGAGCAGCCTGGATACAGCACAGTCAGAAAACAATCTAACTGGAAAATCCTGGGTATTTTGTCTTTGCAAGGGAAAAGTTGCAAGTGTGAACAGATAAATTAGAAGTGAGAGGGGAAACATCAGGACAGCTGGAGCTTTACTTTAGCCAGTATATGCTGTCTCTTATAGGTAACTCTGGGAAGAATCAACATTTGGGTCTTGTGAGCCAGGGGAGGCAACTGGAGTCACTCAGCAGGCATTCAACACGGTGACGACACCTACCCTTGGATGCTTTTGCTCCTGCTGAAGGCAAACATGCTCTCACAAGGACAACAGATGCTACTGTTGTCTTCAGTTTACTCAAGCCACGAACAGGCACGTGCCTGGGGCTGGGAAGCAGCCCAAGACAGGGAACGCAATGGGAGCCTAGAGGGACCACTGAGCTCATATGAGGACAGGCCTACCAGAGGCCACATAGATTGGCTCTCAACCACACAGCTTGCTCCAAAATGAGAGAAAATAAAGAAGGACAGGTCTGAGCAATGTAGGGCTGAACACTTCAAGGACAGACTGCACTCCTCACAAATCCCAGCAGCTCCCAGGTCAAAGTTACAGACTCCAGAAACTATGCGGCTGCCTTGAATGTATGGAAATAACTCAGTTTGTCTTTAATGACCACCCTTTTTTGAGGGATAAGCAAGTAAGGGAGATGTCACGTTCTGCAGCACAAGGGTAATGACAGAGACAAATGACCCTGAGAAAGCCCATCCTCCTTGAGCACAAACTGTAACCATTAGCCTGTCTGACCCAGATTCTTCCCACCAGGACCTTTGCATCCCACCTTATCAAGCAAAATCTGCACAACTCTTTTTACTGCTTTTAATCCCTTGGTTTAAAGAATAGACTTGCAGCTCAAAGAAGCTCTTCTTGCAAGACAGTGCAGCACTAATTCCTTGAGGAGAAGACTTTGCCTCTCCGGGTGGAACCACAGAGTTTCTGTGCTGTTAGCACCTTACCTTGGTTGCACACACAGCCATCGCTCCATGAACTCTTCATCCCTTCTAAATCCTCCCCCAAACTCTCCTTTTCCATCCATGGGTTCAATCTGCAAGTGCCATCTGCTTTCCCATCCACTCTCACTAACTTGTACTAAGCTCATTTAATAATTAAATGCTCAACACTGGGATGTGACTGACTTGTCTGAGGTCTGGAATGCCCCTCACCACACTGAGGTTTCCCATCTTTGATCTCTCTTACCTGTGAGACTGTGATGCCGCATTTCTTGGCTAGCTCTTCTTTGGCTTCCTCACTGGGGTAAGGGTTGCTGAGATGGGAATAGAAATACTCATTCAGGATTTCCGTAGCCTGCTTGTTGAAGTTCCGTCTCTTCCGCCTTCACGTGAATAAAGAGGGAGAAATAGAAGGAAAAGGAAAGGGAATCAATGCCAGGCATCCAGAAATAGAAATGCAATTTTACATACTCTGACTTTCCAACTTCCCTCCCTCCTTCCCCTGTTCCTGGGAGTATGGAGTGCCATACTTCATGGTCAGGAATTTTCTCATCTGCACCTTGCTGGTGACATCTCTCTCAGCACCTTCCAAAGCAAGTGATTCTACATCTCAAACTATCCCTGTACCCTCCAACTCAAAGAGTCTGAAAACTGGCATCCACCTGGGAAGGTTACTCCTGACACCTGGCTGTTGTGGCCAAAGACATCACTGCTACTCTGCAAAGCTCCATGCTGAGGAAGTAGCGCTGGATATATCCCTGGGGAACTCTGTTCCAATTACACATAGGCATTATCTGTCTGCTGTCTCCTTCCTTGTACCCCCAGTGTAGCTGCCTCTCCTCCCTTTTGCAAGCTGAAGCCCAAGCCACAGCCTGCATGTAACCAGCTTGGGAAATGAAATAATTTTTCAGCAAATCAAAAATCTGGGACAATGGAAACAGTAGCAAAAAAGTAGAAATCTAGAGGGGACAGGATGGCCCCGAGGATGAGCTTTCATCCGTAACTGAAGTGCACGCTTTCATCACAGAAAATTGTAATATGCCAGAGAATTTCCTTCTGCCACAGCAAAACCAGGATGTACAATTCTCAAGGTACAGTTGGGAGCCTCCTCGAGACAGAAGCTGGATGTCTTGAATTGCTGTCCCCTCCCCTGCTGAGCCATGGACAACCAAGGGATAAGGAAGTTAATAACCTCTGCAGCTCAAGACCAGGAGATATGGCCCTTCAGGTGGACCTGAATTCACTCCAGAACCTCTGAACACCTCTCCGGGGCCTCAACAACACTGAATGGTGGGCGGGGAGAAGGTGGGATGAACTCACCGTGCGTCCAGAAATCGGGAGCGCAAGATCATGACGGCTTCACACGTGCTCTGCTTCAGCTGCATCTGGATGGAGCTGAACTTGCGGTGGATGATGCTCACCATCCGCTCAATCTCCTTCGGCGAAATGGGTCGGGTCCGGCTCTGCTCACGCAGTAGGTTCATCACGTGGGTGGTGAATTCGTTGCATGCCTGGGATGGTAAGAAAAGCAAAAGAAACCCCAGGATTGGAAGGTCATTCGACGGTCTTGAGGACAGGACAAAGACAGCACTGCTAAGGAGGGAGACCCGAGTGGAGGCCTCAGTGGATAGGGCTTTTCAGGGCAGACCCAGACCAAGCATGAAGAAGTCCCAGTCACTCTTTTTCTGGTTGAGACTGGAGGAGCTATAGATGTGTCCAAGGAGGACCATGAACCTTTTGACCCACTGTCCCTCCTCCTACAGCCCCATCACATGTGCTGCAGAGGTCCCTGTGCTTCACAGAAGCAGCTCCCAGAGAGACATAGCCCTGTTCCACACTCTTGGCACATCAGATAAGAAGTAAATAATGATAATAATTAAAGCCTGACTGAGGCAGGAGCTCTGACAAGTAAGGGCAAGCAGGTAACAATCCCAATTAGTTTGCTGTTGGCACAGCAATGTCTGTTGCTTCTGCTGTCCCCCTGCTGTGCCGAGAGAACAGGGCAGTGAATGGAGCCAGGGGACAAGGCAGGGGTTTTGAGGTCAGATGAAGGTCACTTCATTGCCCTCTCTTTCATCTGCACAAGCACCTCATGGGCATGATGGCATCCTCTGATTCCTAGAACTAAGCCCCAGAAACCAGGCTGAGGGAAGCACTTGGACACTTGATGGCTGGAGATGCCTTTGGTGCTCATGGGACATGGGAGCTGCTCTGGGGACAGAGTCCCCAGTTCCCACCCCATGATGAAGAAAAAGGGGTAAGCAGGGGGAAGAAGTACCGGCTTTGTGGACAGGTGACATGGGCTTGACTTCAAGCGTCACACCCCACCTTTCCAAGCTGAATCCCCACCATGGCTCAGATCCAACAAGGAGACATCCCCGAGGCCAGCACAGCCCCTCCAACTGCCCATCCCCAGCTTCAGCTGATGAGGAAGGAGCAGAAGGTCCATCCCTGAAGCCTGTCTCTCTCTGTGCCAAGGGCCTCTCCTTGGACTTGGGTAACAGAGGACAAGGTCTCTCTCTCCCTCTTCAGCCTGGGGCCTTGAAAGATGAGCCATGACATGCTCTCCACTCCCACCCATATGAGATGGTTGAGGCTTCCTCTTATCGCACAACCCCATCTCCATGCCTTGAGGGAGTGACAGCAAAGGCTGAGGAGAGCCACCAAAGGTCATTCTTCTAAGCAGCCTTCTGCCTGCTCCCTGCCTCCTCTACTGCCCTGCCAAAATGTCTTTCATGCTGTGACAGCACTCAGCTTCTCCAACACCAGAGCCCTGCCTGGCCACTCTTGACTCCAGCTCCCACCCAAGGGTACCCATCTAATGTACCTCAGCTTGGCCAGTGTGGCACCTCAAGGGGTAAGACATCCCCCATCCCCACACATCCAGTTAGCCAGGTAAAACAGGTTGGCTCTAAACCAGAGACCTGAAACCCTGCCTGGCCCCTGGCTGTGGAGCCCATCCTGCACCCAAAAATGAGGGATGCCTTCTTGCTCACACTCCATAAACCACAACCTCTGGGTAGAAACCACAAGGGCAGTAGTGAAGAGAGATCTGCAAAACATCTGGAAGCATTTGAAAGGAACTGGTTCTGAGCGCTGGTCTGTGAAGCTCTTCATGCAATTGTCAGCGTTACCAACAGCTGCATTTATGACCCAAACAGTTTTTCTTTTTCTTTTTTAAGGATAATTTTCCACAAGAAAAAAGAAATTTTTTTCTGGAAAAAGAGCTTTTCAAGCAGAAAATGTATTCAAGGAAGATTTTGATTTAAGTCTTGTTTGGAAAAAACTGTTGCCACCAAGGTCAGCACGATAAAGAGGGCTCCTCCTTCACAGGGCCAATTTTGGGCAAGATTTCGGGAGAGGAGCAGAAAGTAAAAGTCCAAGGGACAAACCATGCTGAGTGTATTCTCGTGCCACATCCCAGCACAACCTCTCAGCTCTCCCAACCCTAAAAAAGCATGTTTTCACTCCAATACCCAGTTGCATTTGCCCATACACTCCCAACAACAGATGTCAGTAGCGATCCAGCCTGTGCTCATCCACGCCACCGTGCTGGCACTGAACGGCAGCTCTCCCACTCCGGCTGCAGCTCCCACTGTCCCATGACCACCAACCACCCCTCCGCCGCAAAGGAGCCTGTTACCTGCTCATACTTCTCCAGCTCCGTGTGGTAGATCTGTCGGATCTGGGAGAGTTTGGCTCTGTAGTCAGAGTGCTCCACCGAGTTGTCGGAGCCGGCTCCCCCTGATGCGGCAGCGGCGGCGGCAGCGGCGGCCGATCCACCTCCTTTTTCGGGGCCTGCCACCCCCTCGGCCAGCAGCATGTTGTCTAACCTCATCAGCTGGGGGTCCGTGGGCTCCTCTTCCTGCGCTCCCCGGATGCTCAGCACTGCCAGAGACACAAAGGGGAGAGGACTTAACTCATGGAAGGGGATGCTTGTCCAAAGTTAGACCATCAACAGGGCTTTTCTTCCTTTCCAAAAAGTACCCCAACAGGCTGGTGCTCCAAGCACTTATCACCAAGTGCAGCTACTTGGCTCTCCAGGGGCACTCCAGCTCCCTGTTTCCCCCACTACCTCTTCCCCTCTTTCCTGCAGGAAAGAAGTAAGGCAGAACTGGCAGTGAGCTCACCTCAGAGCTTAACCAGAAATCCACATTTTCTGTTCAAACAGGAAGCAAAACTAGCAACACCAATCGAAACCCCAATAAATGTACCTGTTCTTGCTACCAGAAGGGATAGGGACCATATCCCGACTCAAGCATGGGATGGGAAGTTAGGAGTCTCCAGCCCTGATCTCATCTCGCTCAGGGGTCCTCTCATGTCACCCAGCATGTCATTTACATCAACCTCAGATGGCAGAGAAAGACACACAGAGCCCAGGGCTGATGGTGCCTCGGTTTCCTCATTGTTAAATACAGAGAGGGCTTGAGGCCATGCTTTTAGCCACACAGTGGGAGCACGTGCAAAAAATGTATGAAATAAATTTTATTCTTTGGAAAACAGCTTTTTTTTAAAAGAATCCAGACATTCCACTGAAGTCTAAACCGTGTTGAGAAAAGGAACAACAATAAATTAATCCTTCCAGAGCAACTTTCCAAGGAGAGAATTTTCCTCCCCTCTTTGTACTCCCTGCATCAATTACTGCTCCAACTGAAAGTCCTTCTCCTGAGAGAGCTTTCCTGGACAAACAACATGGGAGCATCCCAACTGCTTGGGTTGTCCCAGGTCTGAAGGACAGAGATGCCCTACATGCCCTTCCCCATGCCCCCCTCCATGGTCTGTGTCTGAAAACAGAAGGAAAACTTGAGATCTCTGTATGCACACACACAGAGTTGCAAAATAAATGAAATAAATACAATAAATCCTTGATGAGTGAACAAAAAAAAGGCATTTTCTAAGAGAAATTAATTGTATTTCTCCATCTCATCTGGCACAGGAGCTCCAAGCACTTTGTAAACACACACACACAGCCCCAGCACACACTCGTTGCACATCTAGAGCTGGGAAAACACTGCATGGATAAAGCTGTGCCCACTACACCTGAGATGAATATGACTCTCCCCTATGGCACAAGCAAGAGCAAGTGATTCTCCCTGTCATTCAAATAAAACCAAAAAGCAGCGGAAAATCAGACGGCAACAAGAAGTAAAACCAGAGCAGCTAAAAACCCCCGGCAACCAGAGAGTATGGTCTTCGTCACTCTGAAGTAAGTTAAAGATACAACTATTATCAGTAAAAAAAAATGAAGTAAAACACCCTGTTGAGAGGTTTGGCTAAGTCTAAAAGGAGCTTTTTTTTTTAAAAAAAAAAAAAAAAAAAAAAAAAAGCCTCAAAGTCTACTGAAATTACTATTTTCAGGATGTTTCATTCATTCATTTCATTCACTTATTCATTCATGCATTTACTGGCATTTCTGCTATTGAAATATTCACTGTTAACAAAGGTGGGAAGATCATGGGGAGAAAGAAAAGAGAAAAAAAACCCATCAAGAATAAAACAGCCAATAAAATGAACTAATAATAAATAATTCCACGCTAGGGAGGATCGTTTCTGTATGGAGGAATGGGGGTATGTTGTCAAATTTGGAGCTGGGTGCCAGTTGCCAAGCCTTGAGGAGACAGGACCGGCATCTCCCCCCACCACAGGAGGCTTCCCACGGTACCTCTGGCACCCAGCCACGATGAATAAATCCAAGAGGAGAGGACAGATTTCATCAAGAAAATGGTCTGGGGTCTGAGGTCCAGACACCAAACTAAGGTAAGAGATAAAAGTAGCCAAATTCCTTAAAAAGAGAAGAGGGAAGGTGACAGGCTACATCAGGGAGAGAAAAAACTTGCTATGAAAATAAAAGAGAATAAATTCCTATTCTTCCAGGACAAAAAAAAAGAAAAAAACCCAGTAAATTAAAGCACATCAAAAGCCCAAATATAAAAAGAAAGCAACACAGGTTAAAAATAATTTAAAAAAACCAAAACAAAACAACACAAAAACCCCACAACAAAACCTCAAATAAACAAATCAAAAGTAGAGTTGCCAAAACAGGCGCATCTGGATTTCAAAAGGGAAATATTTTTAGACTAAAAATCTCAGGAATCATTGACCTGACAGGTAGGCACGAGTGATTAATTAGTTTATCTTTAGAGAGCTGCTTCCTGATGAAAAGCACTGTGTATTCCCGTGAGCTTTATTCCTGTGCCACACGCACAGACCAGCTACCTGCTGGGTGGATGCATTCCCAGCATCCGACAGAGGGATATGTGTCCCCACAGCAGTGACCTGAACCCAGCTGGGGACCATTTGGAGCCAGCCTAGTCTTGGCTGTTTGACTGAAATAAGGCATGGGACTAAATAAATGGAAAGGCCAATGTGTCTAAGCAGGACTGATGCTGCCTATTCATCCCTGGAAAGCTGTGCTCAGCCAAGGAGAAGACAAAATGATTATTTGAAAGCTCCTTTTTTATCTTCCTGGTGTTGTTCCTGGCTCCAACACACCTCGTACCAGGATGCCCAGATTGCTGGGCTCCTTGGCAGTACCAACCCTCCAAACTGCCCCCTGTGACGGGATGTGGCTTCTGCTGGCTGGGGGTCTCAGGGTGAGCTGGTACAGGCAGCACCCAACCTGTATTGCCTGGGCAGCTGATGGTGAAAGAACCCTGCTCTCTCACCAAATTAAAACAGAATAAATTAAGCAGAATGATCCTTGGTGGTCCAAGGGGCTACAGGCACGTAGGCATCCAGGCATCCCCAGGACTCACCATGTGCTGCCCCTGATTAAAGAAAGTGTAAAAAAAAAAAGGAAAAAAAAGAAAGAACAAAAAGAAAGATAGCGACTGGCAGCCAGGGGGGAGGAAAATTCATGCAAGACTTTCTGTCCTTGGCTGCTTTCCTGCTGGCTCGGCAGCCCCAGAGCCGTGGCACAAGCCACTAGATGGTGCTCGGCCCTCACCCAGGTCCCCCACCGATCAAAATGGGTTTTTATATGTAAATATATACATACCCACATACGCAAATATATATGTGTGTGTTATATATACATACATATACATATACATGTATATACATATACATGTATATGTGGGTGTATTTTAAAAGCAAACCCAAGCCATGTGCCTTGTCCCTGCCTGGCTGATTGGGGAGTGGAACAGAGGAGCATCCCTGTCACAGGGTCATCACCTCCCATGGCAGCAGCGGGAGCAGCTGGGGACCATTGAGCCACCAGCCTGCAGTCCGGTCATGGATGTCACCAGGGTCACAGAGACCTGTTCCAGCAGCTGGGAAATGGCTCCCAGCTCACACACTCGCTCCTCCTCCCTCTTGAGGAAGGTATCATAACCACAGAGTTCAGAGAATATTGACAAGTCCTAGTCCTGGGCTGCAGTGCAGGACACAGGGAAGTGGTAGGAGGACTGACCTCAGAGAAGCAGGTGAGAAGACAACGACAAAAATAGCTCCCCATCTTCTTGTCTGCCCTGCAGTTCAGGGACACAGAATGGAAACTGCATCGAGTAACCAAAGCTTCCAAATCCTCCAAGATGCTTCCCACCAACATCTCCAAGGAGCAGCTGCAGAGCAGCCAGCTCCATGCTCACATGAGCTGAGCAGCCAGCACTCCGCATGTGTCTGGGTCTCCAACCACAGCACCTGCACCTGGTGTCCCTGTGCGGTGTGGGTGTTGGGGCAGTCACACAGGTTGAGGTACAGCCCAGGTGGGGGGCACAGGGCAGGAGAAACAGCCCTTGCCAGATGCCTTTGGAATGGACAGCACCCTGGGGATGGTCTGGGGCTGTGAAGACACCTAAGAAATCTAAATTCCTCTGGTCCTCTATGCCACCCTCCCCTTCCTTATTTACTCCATTTTCCTGGCAGCATTTTCCCAAAGGAATCTGAAAAGTGTAGGAGTTGAGTACACAGCCGCCTCTCTTCTCCAAGGCCATGTCAAAATGCTTCCACTTGGCAACTCTTTTCTCTTAACTCCTTCCAAATCCTCCACATTAGAGGTGTGCAGGCAACACCAGAAGAACTACATTACAAAGGCAATCGAACACTGAGACTGTGGTTCAGCAGTAGACAACAGAAAAGGATGCTCAAACCTTCAAGCTCCACCTTTCTTCCAGAAAGGGCAGTTTATCCTACTGTGATCAGTGTCCTTAAGCTGAAGGGATGTGGAAAAAACAGGGGGTTGTCCCAGCCAGACTCCCAGCATGGTATATATACGCTCACCAGAGGCTGCAGGCTGTAGTGGTACCACACTCCCCCCCACTTCTAATTCTCATGTCTCTCCTTGGGTGTGCTCATCCCAGTTAGGTGCCAGCCAGGACTTCTGGGGTGGAAGCCAAAGACCAAGCAGGAGACACCAGAAGACGCTAAGCCAAGGTGCAGCAGTGGGAACAGGCTCTTCAGGAATGCAGTGGGAATATCTTGGAAGAAGAAGATACAGTGAATGCCAATTTAGGTTGTGACAATAAAGGAAGAGGTTCCCCAGGGCTGGTGTGGCTGTTCTCCGCTGACCTCAGCAGCCAGAAGCACAATGCCATGAAATTCTTGTAACTGCCAGGTTAAGATTCCCGATAACAACATGACCTGGCAGCTCCTCTGCAGCCCCATTTGCTGACACCCCCAGCCAAGTGCTGGACCCAGTAGCTGGGTGTTTAAACAAAGCCATCCTACCAAGAAACCTGCTGGGTGGTTTTAAGGAGTTCAGGAGGAGCGCTTGCCCTGCTGCCTGAGCTTGGCTGCTTCTGAAGGAGTTTTCTCATGGTTGTTTCTGCCCATTCCCAACTTGCTAAATTGCCTTTCCAGGGGGACATTTTAAAGGAGAAGGAGATTTCAAGTAAATGATTGCAACTTATCGAAAATAATGTGCTACTTAGCATCGGAGACAAGCATCC